TTCCGCCACGACCCGGGACACTAGCGTGGGGCTCGCACGAGCGGCTCGCGGGCTGACCTTGTCCCGGGGCTCGGTGTCGATGGTGAGGCTGCTGAGGCTGGTGGCGGCGGAGAAGGCGGCCGGCGTGTGTTCCGCCACGACCCGGGACACTAGCGTGGGGCTCGCACGAGCGGCTCGCGGGCTGACCTTGTCCCGGGGCTCGGTGTCGATGGTGAGGCTGCTGAGGCTGGTGGCGGCGGAGAAGGCGGCCGGCGTGTGTTCCGCCACGACCCGGGACACTAGCGTGGGGCTCGCACGAGCGGCTCGCGGGCTGACCTTGTCCCGGGGCTCGGTGTCGATGGTGAGGCTGCTGAGGCTGGTGGCGGCGGAGAAGGCGGCCGGCGTGTGTTCCACCACGAACCGGGACACGCGCTCCTCGAACACCGACGCCATCTGGCCCGGCTCTGGAGGACACAACATATACGTTATTGTTATATCAGTTTTGGTCACCTGCTAAGGGCTGACAAAAGCTAGGTCTGTGATGCGGGACGCTTCGGACTTCGCTCCCTCACAAAAAGTACATGGTCGTTTAGCATTGGTAACAAAAGGTGACAAATAGAGCTATTTATTGCAGAACAAGTTCGAAACGACATTTTGGCTGAATTAGGAGCTCAACATTTCATTTCCCGTTTCCAGATGAGGTGATTTATCAAAATTCAGGGCAGCAGGGCGTTTTTTCTGTCATTACCCAGTGGGGTAATACCCACTGGCCGATGAAAATCCGTGTTATTTGGGACTCTCCCCTCCACAAGGGCGGTGTTTACCGACGGTGTCTTCTGGGGCCGTTGAAAGGGAGCTGCGAGTTATTGGACCTAAATTGGACTATTGTACGTTATATACCAGTTACCCACATACTCGCGACTGTGCGACGGGCGGCCGTAGTGAGTGTGCGAGCGCGTCAGCAATATAATTACGCGCGAGCGGTAAGGATGGGTAACGACCCGTTGGACGAAATAGGGTATTTGACACCACCAATCAATTGACGTACTTTTTAAAACTGTCAAAACAACACTCTCCCATAGATTTTGTACGGCAATACTAGCATGTGACGTCGCAATTTTATCAACTCAATGAAAATACTTTTTTCAATTATAATGCAACCAAAAATCGTAATTTACAGGTAATTAAAAATTAATTAAGTTGCTAAGACAAGAAAGAAGTGTCTTTTTAAAAAAGTTGTGCTTTACAATTATTGGGAAATGGTGTCAAATACCCAATTCTATGTGCTCGGCAACCAGACTAGTTTTTCTCACTTTGGAACTAGATGGCGCAATATTAACTCTCTAAACTTACCCGGCGGCGGCGTGGCTGGCTCCGGCGGCGCTGGCTCCTGCGGCGGCGAGTGCGGCACGCTCTGCCCCGGCGAGTCGGGGATCTCGCTCGGGGAGATGATGCCCGACGGCTGCCGGCTGCAAACAACACAAACAAATTTTATTTAACTTGAAAAAATTTAATTGTTTAGGGTGGGAATCGACCCCACGACCTTTCTCTTGCCGAGCGAAATTGAAAGAGCCCGTCAAAATTTTCAAGTGTAATAATACGCTGTAAAGGCTGATTTACACGAAGTAGTTATGTAGGTAACTACATTTTAACTTATTTTTTCGGGTAAATTGGTGGGCGGGGGCTTGTCACTTGACAGCTTTTGAAAAGTAGTTTCATAGTAAACAAGAGCTTGACTACATAAGTACGTTTGGATATAGCCTTTACGGCCAACAGCGTTTCAGCGGCACGGGAGGATGTTTTTGTGACGTCAAATGTCAATGAGACTTTAGATGTGCTTCAGACTTGTATGCTGTGACGTCATATCGTCCCTCGCATGACTAACTATCCTATCTCAGTCTTTAGGCGATTTGATAACTGAAGTCCTAACGGACTACAAATTTTTTCCTGCTTCCATTGTCTACGACTTTCTATAACTCACGTATCTGTATGTACCTATTTTTCCTCCCACGAGGTCCGTAAAGTATAAACGGAAACTAAATTTGAAATGATCTAAAGCCTGGTCCATTGGACAAAATTCTACGTGCTCACGGACCAGGCTTTAACTGAAAACCCGTGGTTTTGAGAAAGTGGCAAAACTGAGATAAGAGAGTTAGGCCCAGAACAGGCGGTGAAACGCAACTGCAACGAAACTGCAACTGCTAGTTACTTTTGAGTTGCATCTAAGTTTCTGCCATAGCGTCCGTTGAGAGACCGCACATGACGCGACCAGTTTGAAACTTTCAGTTTCAGTTTCATTCATCAGAATCATCACAAAGTTGCAGTTTCGTTGCAGTTGCGTTTCACCGTCTGTTCTGGGCCTTAGTCATGCGAGGGACGATATGTAACCCTTTCCGTGCCGATCCCATACCATAGTCACTGACTAGTTAGTTACTAGCTTACTCTGCTTACTACTACTAGTTGTAGTATAGTAGTTAAAAGGTAGGTAATCGGTTTGGACTTTGGACAAAGCCTTTTTCTAGAAAGTAGACATAGATTAGCAGAAATGACTATTACCTGAACTCCGACAGCACGGATCCCTGGTCGTCATGCGAGCAGTCGGGCAGCGATCCAAGCGAGCTGGACCGCGAGAACATCAGCGGCGTCTCCTGCACGAAGCGCGGGGAGCCTCCGCCGGACGCCGCTACGGATACCGGCTCGCGGGCGAACGTCACCGCTTTTGAGCCTGGACAGTAATAAAAACAATTTAAGAATCAAGTAAATGAAGCCACGATAACCGAACGGTGAAGGGGTCGGACTGGCCCACTCGTGATCCGAGGAACGCAGGTTCGGTCCCCGCCGCCGCACAGTGGTCCCGATTTAATAAAACATGGACATTGATGCTAGAAGCACTAATTTTTTTTTTTATGGTTACTGCTATTATATTATAACTAATAGAGCTACTTTTTGACGGCCAGCGGACCTATACATAAAACGTTGTATTAAGTATTTCCCTTAATTTTTTATTTTATTTTATTAAAAGCTGATGCATACGAGCGCGCGCGAGTGCAAGTCGTTGTTATGTGTCATCAAAGGTGTCCCTTATACACCATATTGTAAATCTGCCAATTTTTCGTGGAAATATTTATTATAAAAAAATTGATTTTTCAACCCTCGATAACTCAAAAGTACGCAGAGATAAGTGACAAGTATCTTCGCATGATTTGTTTTATAACATGTATAATCGGCATCTTGACATCTTTTAAGAATATCGAAAAATTGACAGAAACGTAATTTCTTCCATACAAAAAATATCCATATATAATTTTTTTTACTACGAAATAGACGTCGTAGGATTGTAATTTTTTTTTGCCTTATTAGTTATCAAAGCAGTAACCATCAAAAAAATGTTCGTGCTTCTAGCATCAATGTCCATGTTTTATTAAATCGGGACCACTGTGCGCCGCTCGACTATTGTGGTGAGCTCACTCGTGATACAAGCATATTTAGCTTAGTACGAGGGGCTAACGAGATAAAAAAATCTTCACAGTCAATTTGCATTAGGTGAGTGAGATGCAGGCCAAGAGCTTCTCGTTGTGGACAAAAAACCTCGGTTTTAATCCATCACTCGTTTTATAAGCGTGTGACAATTCATCCAGCCAAGAAGGCTAAAAGGGGCTTTCGGTGCAACGAATTTCTGTTGCAATAGTTTATCAGGCCTGCAATGTCAAATCCAGAACTAAACTTGGTCTAATATGTATTAATCAATGGCCAAATAGTTTATCATCTATTTAAATGCTAAGCAGTTTATTAAATCGTAACATTTAATATGTAACTATAATCGTCGAATGAAGTTAAATTCATATTTAACTCCAGCAAATGTCGAACAATTAGTATAGTTATGTACAAGTGAGAGCGGAATATAGTTATTCACTGTTGTGCAACAGAAAGATTGAAATCAATCTATTTTTTTGTTGTTGCATTTATTCCAATTAAATAATGTGATATAAAAATATGCGTTACCTTCTTTGTCCTTAGCAGAGCTGTTTATGTTAGGTTCCTCTGGACTCGGCTCGACATTGATGGTGGCCATGGCGTTCTTCTTAGCCAAGCAATCCTCTTCAGTCGGCTCGCCCACACTACTTAACGAACTCACTCTAGAGAAGTACCCTGGAGTACCTTCGTCGCAGTAGTTCACGGGCTTTTCAGGACTGATCATGCCAGAACTGAACTTCGTATCAAACACTCCCCGTTTCTGATCAGATTCGGTCATTGACGCCTGAGGAGTGGTGGCCGCTAAGTCATTGTCATGCCGAGGCGGNGTTTGAAGTCGCCCGGGACAACCCGCTCGGACGCCGAGGCAGGAAGATTTTATTTCCAATTGTTTGTTTGCTTTAGCCAGGCTAAGCTGTTTAATTTTTTATTGGTTTTGAACCTATAGGGCCTCCTGATCCTTGATTCTTGATTAACACTATCATATTAAATTGTCACTACTCGTACTCGTACGCACTACTCGCTACTCGTGACTTAAAGACTTGACTTAACACTTAGAGATGGTGAACGAAGCCCTATGCTCCACACAACTCATCTCGGAATTACATGGAAAAAAAAGGACAATAAGATTCAAAACTTCAAATAATATTCGACTGTGAATAAAATTTTATCGAGACACACCCTAGAATGGTTTAGTGCTCACGCCAGAATTTTGGACTACCGATTCACTCATGACCTGTGTGATACTAATTGTTCGTGTCCATCGGACATTACATATCAGGGGCCAGGCCCCCCTGAAAAATAAATTAGTCTGGTCTGTGAGCACGTAGAATTTTGTCCAATGACTCCTAGCTACCCATCCTTATCACTCGCGCGTAATTATATTGCTGTCGCGACTGTGCGACTGCCAGCCGCAGTGAGTGTGCGAGCTAGATACGTCAATGTATTGAACCGGCAGACAGAGGTGACTGAGTTTGTTGAAGTATAACTTTGGTCTTCTGCCGAACGACCTCGTTTCTTCAACGCTACTAAACAGTTTCCATTCCCAGGTACCGGGTGGCGCTGCAGTACGTGCGCGGGCTGTGCTGGGTGCTGCGCTACTACTACCAGGGCTGCGCCAGCTGGAAGTGGTACTTCCCCTACCACTACGCGCCCTTCGCGTCCGACTTCGTCAACGTCTGCGGCCTGGCCACCAACTTCGAGGCCGGCACGCAGCCGGTGAGAATAGAATAGAAAGACTTTTTTTGATTATTTTTTAAGTTACACAACAAATTATGAAACTCTTCGAAAATTGACACCCCTTATGATATTTTAAGTTACCACGACCACAATTTTTCAAATTTTTCTGTTATTTTGTTTGTATCGCCAACCTAAGTGGTACTGCTATCCACCCCAACTCGTAAAATCCCCAGAATCCTTGCAGTTTTTACACAAAAATTAATCAAAATATGTAATTTCCATAAAATTTTTAACGTGACACGTTGAAATTGGGACACGTTGTATACATACTACATAGACACGACAACATAACGACACAACGAGAATAAAAAAATAAGTCAAAACAAGGAACAATTACGAAGCTACTGCGTCAGTAGGCTCTCCTGCTCAGCATTTATCTTGACAAGCCCTTACGAGCAACCGAGCCCGAAAACGACACCGTTGGGCTATTGTTTCCTTTTCCAGTCAGCCAGTCTGTATCTGTGAGGCGCAAAATATGTTATGCCCGTCGCAATAGAACGTTTTGGATGACTAGAATGTATAACAGTCGAAATCTTCAAATTGGTAATTTAATCTAAATATAAGGCCTCAGCCTCGAATTTAGCGGGAAGCGGGGCGGCGGCGGTAGCGGCGCGGGAGCGGCAGGATCTTATGCGTAAAATCAAATAGACCGGTTCTCAAAAACAGCGGCGCGGAAGCGGGTAACGAGCGGGCAGCGCACTTCTTCTTTTGCCCACAATAAATCGAGCGTTAGGAATAAATTTGAATCGAAATAAAATTGTCGCCGTTGTTCAGACATTTCGTTTGCGAATAAAAACAAATATCTCGACAACACAACCCCGAACACAACACTTCGCCGCTAAAGCGCCGCGCGAGCTGCCCGCTTGTTTCGAGAACTGGTCTGCGTTGCCCGCCCCGCTCCCGCGCCGCCGCCGCTCCCGCGCCTCTGCCCGCTGAATTTGAGGCTGAGGCCTAAAAGGTGCAACTTTAAATCTACAAAATCTACAATGTCAAATTTGTTTTGTGTTTTCAGTTCCGGCCGCTGGAGCAGCTGATGGGCGTATTCCCGGCGGCTAGTGCGCAGCACGTGCCCAAGCCCTGGGCCAAGCTCATGAGTGACCCTGTAAGTAACGCGCCCTACTCTAAATGTATCAAGTTCTCTTTCGAATCTTTGGCTTTCGATTGTATGGCACATAGAAGATACTTAGTGACCTGAGGTGGTGGGAGCCTGATGACCTGTAATATAGGTATAGTAAATACCTAGCATAGGCATCAGATTTACACAAGAATGAACATCAAACGTCTCTTATACATTCAATATGTAACTCTGTTCGATTTTTGGGTGAGTAAAATAAAGATTTATTTATCGATTGTTCCCAAACGGTATAGTATCAAGTTCATTATGTGACGAAAACTAACGTATTCCTTCTCCAAGGTATAGATAGACCTTGTCTTGGACATAGGTCCATATCGAAATTAATCAAAATGTGGAAATCACGTAGCATGCCTGCACACTAAAATGTGGACTACAGCATGCTGGCGATCACCAAAGTTATTTAACTTCCACCACGAATAGTAGCATTTATCGCAAGCAAATCGCGCTTTGAAGAGCATATCTGTATGATGTCATTTGACAGTAAGCTTGGTTATTTCCTTACACGCACCAGAAAAACTTAAGCCACAGATGGAAGGCATGTCCAGTACGTCTACAGGGTGTTAAGTAAATGGGTATGGCGCTTCTTCTCAGCACTTGCCAAATGTTTGTCTCGAAGCGCTGGTAGGGCAAAAAAAGAATGAGACATGTATAGGCTCCTTAAGAGCATTTGACGATTTGCAAGAACTAATTTAATTAGTCTAAACAAATAAAGATAATTTTGATTTTGATTTTGATTTTTGGTATATGAGCCGACACTAGCCCATGTTAACATGGGTCATATAAATGGTATGGTGAAGTCAGAAAATTGATATCTTCATTTTTTTTTCATACAAATCGGATTTTATAAAATTTGTTTTGTATGAAAATTGAAAAAATTAAAATGATGATATCAAATTTTTGACTTCACCATACCATTTATATGCCCATGTTAACATGGGCTAGTGTCGGCTCATATACCCTACCCATTTACCTAACACCCTGTATAGACATAATTTACTTTCTATTCGTTGTCATTATTATCAGTAAATGTATAATTTATTTTGTGTGCAGCACTCCCCAATCATCGACTTCTACCCGACGGACTTCAAGATCGACCTGAACGGCAAGAAGTTCGCGTGGCAGGGCGTCGCGCTGCTGCCTTTCGTAGACGAGGCGCGCCTCTTCCGCGCGCTCGAGCCCTACTACAAGGACCTCACGCAGGCCGAGAGTGAGTGCAACTATTTATTTATTTACCTATTTAGGACAACCAACAAGACAGGCACAAGTGACGTTGTGACGAGTAATCTTGGGCTTTTCGGCCCGCTAACGTAGTTAATGCGGCGTACTAAACTAACTCGCTGTGTAGACCCGGCGTTCGGCAGCTGCTCAGCATTGGCGTCAACGGCTACCTACGTTGAGTCAGTGGCGAGTAGTAGATAGAGTGATGAGCACTTCGTAGACGAGGCGCGCCTCTTCCGCGTGCTCGAGCCCTACTACAAGGACCTCACGCAAGCTGAAAGTGAGTGCAACTATTGTAGCGAGTAATAATCTAAATATAATAACTCAAAGGTGACTGACATAATAATCTATCAACGCATAGCCCAAACCACTGGACGGATTGGGCTGAAATTTGGCATGCAGGTAGATGTTATGACGTAGGCATCCGCTAAGAAAGGATTTTACGAAACTCCACCCCTAAGGGAGTAAAACGGGATGCACGCGTACGAAGTCGCGGGCGGCCGCTAGTCTTGGGCTATACGGCCCGCGGATGTAGCGTCAATGCGGCGTATCAACTCGCTGCGTAGACGCGGCGTTTGCTATTCGCGGCGACGCTGAGACAGTGGCGCGTAGTAGATAGAGTGATGAGGGCTTCGTAGACGAGGCGCGCCTCTTCCGCGCGCTCGAGCCCTACTACAAGGACCTCACGCAGGCTGAGAGTGAGTACAACTATTGTGACGAATAATCTTGGGTTTTGGCCCGCGGTCGAATCGTTAACGTGGCGCTATCACTGTCTCAGCGTATTGGTATTGCGGCGACGCTGTGCCCTTGCCGACTCTACGCTAGTGTGGGGGACGCTAATGTTCCCCCTATCAGCAGCTTGTATGAAAAAATCTCGATTCGCGTCCACGTAACATTGTGTCAGCTTCGGTCGCTACGTATCGTGACTGGGCCCTGCTAGTTCATACATCTAATGGTGAAAACTTACGTTTCACAGTTCCACTACGCATATTTGCACCGTCATTGTCCATGTATATGTACCTCCTGTGGAAAAGCCTTACATTTAATAAATAAATAAATAAATAAATTTCTTGAATATTTTTCAAAACTAATTAGCTCTTCACCCCCATTTAGATTTCGAAACTGATGTCCCTATTTATCCAACAGAACAGCGCAATATTCGCGGCCTAGACCGCCTGTACGTGAGCACCGGCAACAAGAGCTACGAGTTCCTGCTGGGCCTGTACGAGGAGGCCGGCCACAACACCAAGAGCCTCATCCAGAGCGAGCAGCGTTACCCGTACCGCTGCGACGGCGTGCGCGGAGACGTGCTGCTTAGCGCCGACCACGTCGTCGGCGGCGGGTGAGTGTCCCGGCAGTGTCCCGCTGTCCCGGCAGTGTCCCGCTGTCCCGGCAGTGTCCCGCCTGTCCCGCTGTCCCGGCAGTGTCCCGCTGTCCCGGCAGTGTCGCGCTGTCCCGGCAGGCGGCCACAACACACTAGCCTCATCGCAACAGTGAGGCAGGAAGAACCATGGGTGGTGGTGGGATTTGTCCCAGCAGTGTCCCGCTGTCCCAGCTGTGTCCCGCCTGTCCCGGCAGTGTCCCGCTGTCCCGGCAGGCGGCCACAACACCAAGAGCCTCATCCAGAGCGAGCAGCGATACCCGTACCGCTGCGACGGAGTGCGCGGAGACGTGCTGCTCAGCGCCGACCACGTCGTCGGCGGCGGGTGAGTGTCCCGCTGTCCCGGCAGTGTCCCGCTGTCTACAACACCAAGAGCCTCATCCAGAGCGAACAGCGATACCCGTACCGCTGCGACGGCGTGCGCGGGGACGTGCTACTTAGCGCTGACCACGTCGTCGGCGGCGGGTGAGTGTCCCGCTGTCCCGGCAGTGTCCCGCTGTCTCGGCAGTGTTTCGCCTGTCCCGGCAGGCGGCCACAACACCAAGAGCCTCATCCAGAGCGAACAGCGATACCCGTACCGCTGCGACGGCGTGCGCGGAGACGTGCTGCTTAGCGCCGACCACGTCGTCGGCGGCGGGTGAGTGTCCCGGCAGTGTCCCGCTGTCTCGGCAGTGTTTCGCCTGTCCCGGCAGGCGGCCACAACACCAAGAGCCTCATCCAGAGCGAACAGCGATACCCGTACCGCTGCGACGGCGTGCGCGGAGACGTGCTGCTTAGCGCCGACCACATCGTCGGCGGCGGGTGAGTGTCCCGCTGTCCCGGCAGTGTCCCGCTGTCCCAGCAGTGTCCCGCCTGTCCCGGCAGGCGGCCACAACACCAAGAGCCTCATCCAGAGCGAGCAGCGATACCCGTACCGCTGCGACGGCGTGCGCGGAGACGTGCTGCTCAGCGCCGACCACGTCGTCGGCGGCGGGTGAGTGTCCTGCTGTCCCGGCAGTGTCCCGCTGTCCCGGCAGTGTTCCGCTGTCCCAGCACTGTCCCGCTGTCCCGGCAGTGTCCCGCTGTCTCGGCAGTGTCCCGCCGTCCCGGCAGTGTCCCGCTGTCCCGGCAGTGTCCCGCTGTCCCAGCAGTGTCCTGCTGTCCCGGCAGTGTCCCGCTGGCCCGGCAGTGTCTCGCTGTCCCGGCTGTGTCCCGCTGTCCCGGCAGTGTCCCGCTGTCCCGGCAGTGTCGCTGTAACGCATCGTGTACTTTGGCTCTTATTGTACCTTACGGTATAAGTTTCACTAGGTTTGAGATTAGATGGTGGTGAATAAACTTTCCAAAAATAATTAAAATTATTATTCAATAAGCGTCATGAAACCATGACCACTTTTCCCGTAGATTTCGTAAAAGGTGACTGATCAACAAACTTGCGGTCTTCCCAACCCTTCTGGCATACCAGCGTAAGGAATGTAGATCAGTTCTCAATATTATATGCTCCACAGGTATACTTTTTAATCGTTATGTAGGAGTCACTACTCATATTTCAAGCTTCGCTTGATTGGTGACTTGCTTAAAATGCTTAATATTCACAAAATTAACTGTATGTTTGTCCCCAGCCAACTAGCGTCGCCGGTGATCGGGCTGGCGCCGGTGCTGGGCAACCGCGCGGTGTGCGTGCGCTTCGTGGACCCGCAGTACCCGGAGGGCTTCGTGTTCCCGGCGCGCCGCCTGCAGAAGGCCGTGGACGCGCCGCGCGTGCTCAAGCCCGGGAACCTCTCCCACCAGGAGAACAGGAACTGGCGCCCGCAGATCGGTGAGTTATTGAGTGGAAGCATAGCGGTATCAAAAAAGAAGATGCCAGGGCGTACTAAGAAGTTTTGTATATATTGTATTTTGGACTTTTAATCCTTCAAGGCCCGCGAATCTAGACACAATAGATAATCAATTGTTATGACATTAATGAATGCCGTCTGGGACTCAAGCGGTTAAGACAGGGTACGAAGGTGGAACCACGAAGGTGTTCGAAGGTGAGGCGAACCAGCCAGGGAGTTCCAATTTTGAAACGTTTTGTAAGTGATGATGAGGCCTTTTCTCTGTGTGCTTAGTGCGAGATTGCATTGAACGTCATCGCTAGCGACTGTATAAAAAATTATTACATTAAATGTAAAATAGATTGTACAGCGTCCCTAGCGGATACTTTTAAGAACTAAAATCTTCATAGATTGTTTGCCGCACTCGCTGGTGACGCAATGCAATCTCACACTAAGCACACTGAATGCTCATCAAGATAGAATCGACTGTCACCTGCGTCTATAGTGTGAATCCTACGTCAGACTCGCAGTCCAAAAAGTCCAGTGACTAAACTGTCGGAACTACAGATACGATTCTCGTCTACTCGCATCTAGTTTCTAACATCAGCGTCAAGTTGTGATATTTGATTTGGTCACACCCCTTTCAGATCAGATTGGGATTTCTTAACCTCTTGTACAATGTTTATTACCTTATATGAGCTTAAAGGTTTCTCTTATTATGTGATCTCAAACGAGTTTCTCTCAACAGGCATGGCCCGTTCACACACGATCGCGAGCCTGGAGCAGGCGGGCCACAGGATGCTGGGGCACCACCTGCCGCGGGACCGCGCCTACGGCAACGTGCCGCCGCCGCAGCACCAGCAGCACCAGCAGCGCCAGCAGCACCAGCAGGGCCAGCACAGTAAGTGTTCGATATAATTCACTTTAATAAAAAAACCGACTTCAAATGCGTGAACACAAAAAAATTTTTTCCACCCTTGGGGGTGAAATATTTTCTTCAAATTCGCATGAAACCACCCTTTTGATAATACCTATTCAACAAAAAAATAATCGTTCAAATTGGTTTATAATCGGCGGAGATATTGCGTATAAAAAAGTTCATCCCCAATTTTCCACCCTTGGGGGTTGTTTTTTTATTATTAAATTTAAATGGGACCACCCTTGAGGTATACCTATACGCCGAAAAAAGATTTGTTCAAATCAGTTCATAATTGGCGGAGTAATCGCGTAACAAACATAGAAAAAAAAACATACGGGTCGAATTGAGAACCTCCTCCTTTTTTTTTGAAGTCGGTTGAAAATAGCCCATTTTCACTAAAATAGAGAAACACGGGTCTCAACGCGACATATACAGGGTGGAAACGATAAGTGATCTCACTCGGTTATTTCTTCTTCAAAACTCAATGTTTCCTTCCAAACTAAATGTATGCCAGCCACACAATGTTAGAAGGGTTGTTTTTTTAATTTTGAAAACTTGTGAAGCATTTTCAGGGTCAGTAACCAGTTTTTCGATATCTTGTATAGTTTAGAAATAATCGAGTGTGGACTCGCGTCGTCGTAAAATCTTTTAGCGTATTTTCGTTAATCTTTCAAGTTTCAGCCAAACCAAGGCCTGCTTCCGCGATGGCTGCATGGTGGCGATCACTGTGCGTGCTCAAGGTGTCTACATTGTCACGTTCGTGTTCCAGACATTCACCATCAAAAATGTCCGCTATTTTAAAGAATAGAAGCTTCGGAACTTAGCTGAGTTGTTGGAATTCATTGGGGAGGTCACTCTGTAGGCCATAATATCCCAGACCAGGCCATTAACAAAATAAGTAGGAGAAGTAGCCGAGTTTTTGCTACCTTGTGCTACTAGTTTTCGCAAGCGTAGATAGATGGCGTTTTGGATTCGTAGATTTCATTCGTTCTGTGAACTCTAACCCTTACAACATATTACATAATACAAATTCCTACGCTTTCTTTACGATATTTAGGAAATAATGATGTTTCTTCAACATTACTATATCGCTTGGTAAAACTAAAAAAAACAATAGTATGTTGTAATCTTTTATAAATAACTTGAAAAAATCGAACTGCCTAAGGCGGGAATTGAACCCACGACCTTCCGCTTGCCGGGCGACTGCTCTTCCAACTGAGCTACTTAAGCTGGAAGAGCAGTCGCCCGGCAAGCGGAAGGTCGTGGGTTCAATTCCCGCCTTAGGCAGTTCGATTTTTTCAAGTTATTTATAATTTTCAAATTAGTTTGAGATGCGACTCTTAACGCTAAAAATTAAATAACTATGTTGTAATCTTTTCCCCAAATTATTTTGACTTAAATGCGATATTAATGAACTTTAAAACAAACAAGTCAATCAAAATAATACCCATCATAACAGGACCTGCATAATCCCCTCACGGCTGCCGGCCGTCAAACGACGTTAGTTTCGGACGCTAATCTGTGTCACGCGCGATCGCTGCGAAAAATATTATAATACAAGAGCACACAGAAACACACGTTTATACTAAGATTTTTTTTATGCAGAACAAGGCATTTGCAAGCAAGATATTTGGCCGCAATCGCAATTTTGTGGACTATTAAAAACATGATAAATAACGAAAAGGTGACTGAGTTTCTTCCGCCACTTCTTCTCGGCGCCAGCCCATATGTTGTCCCGAAGTGGTGGTAGGGCAAGTTAATTTGGGGCGTGTACACAAGTTTCCTGAAAAGGACTATTACTGAATAAATTATTTCTATTTGAAAAAGCAACTACACAATAAAGATTATTACTTATTACTTACTTGATATGCCACTCTGACGGCTGCTTGGTCTTGTCTTAGATTCTAACCATATATGGTGTATCAGAGCATAAGTTAAGTTTTGCGAGACTTGTGGTTTGAGATATCGTATGGGACAAATGTTAGCAAAAGATAGAAAATGGCTGAGTCTGCATTTTGCTAAAACTTAGTGGATTCTACCTCTCTAGTCACCATTTTTGGTAATAACATGACCTACTGCATCGTTTTTATTTATGTCGTTAATTTTCCCGCTAATCCACGTCACGCGGCGTTCCCGCCCGCGCACGCCCGTCTACTAAATTGGTCGCGTGCGCATTGATTTGATGATCGGTATTAATATAAACTCTATTGCTATACGAATAGGGAATGGTATGGAAAACTTTGAGGGAGGTTTACATATTTTTGCATGATCGTTTATTAATATACTGCAATCATTTTTTAATATAATGCAAAACGAACTTAATCATTTCAAATCTCGATTTCCCCTTGCCTTGGGGTTCGCGTACCAGACTGCAGTGCAAGGTGCTGCTGTTGCGGGTTCGAATCCTGCTGATGACAAATTTTACTGTGAGAAGCACTAGCATGTGTACCTGTAGACATAAACTCACAGCTCGTGTACGTTGAAACCACAGATCACAGAAACTAAAGGAAGATGTGACAAGGGGGCGGGGCCGGTTTCGCAGCAATATGCTCAAAAACAGAACACATTGCAGTGATGACCGCAGCGACGTCATAATGTAAACAGTTTACATTGCTTACGTAGTACTAAAGATTATTCGAACGTTGAGTACTGATACCGCAGTAGATAATAATGAGAACATGTTTTGATTTCTTTGTGTGTGTGAATTTCTAACGCGACACTGAGTTTCAAACTCAGCGCATTAGTTGGCATCTCTCTATATCTCTATGGTTGAAACAGTATTTTTTTACACCTTTCAAGATGTTGGAGGAGGAAAAATTGCAATTCATTTACGATGATGAAAATCATGAAAGTGAAATTCTGATGCAAAGTTTTGTTCCGCAAGAATCCGTCGGCGAAAAGTCCTCAATTACTGTCGTATACATGTCTTCCCTTGACAGTGCTGTCATAACTTTTAGTTTCCGATCGTTAGCGGCAATTAAGCCAACAATGGCGCCCCCACACGTCGCGCGTAATTAGACCGCGAGTGGCTCAGCAGTCGACGTACGACAGCCTATGCGAGTTCATCCTAGGTGAATTAGATCTGTGTGTGACTGGCTAAACTCTGTAAGTGACATTTGGAATCTATACTATACATTCCATTATACAAAACAGTCATGTAGTGTTGGTTTCGATATTGATTCCATACAAAAAGTGGTATTAAATACCAATTAGATACAAATTTTGGACAACAGAATCACTATTTAGGTTTAGACTGACTTAAAAACTTTAATTAAAATCATTTAATTTCTATGAAACTTGACAGCGTATGTTTTTTAACACAAATAACTTACCTACTTAGTAAAAGGAAGCAATGAATGGCGAGCAATCTTTTTATTACAAAAATTGACCCGCCCTTTGTAGACGATAATGCTTGATTATCCACTTTGGAAGATTATTTTGACAATGAGAAGCGCTCACAGGTAATAAAACAGATAAACACTGGCATTATACCTCCGCTCCGAAGCATCGCTCAAGAAAAACAAAATTACAGCCAATAGACGCCGTGAAAGGAATCCATTATTCAAAATTCGAAATTCAAATTGGCCTATCGTCCCGCGAGGCATTGACGTGTAATAGCGCGCGAAAGCAAACAGGAAGTGCGAAGGGAGTCCATTGTCCGACGCAGTGTCGCCAACTACGAAAATAATAATTATCGAGGGTTGCCAACACAATAGGGGTGATTTTTTTTTCTAAATAACCGGTCGATCGGCTGAAGTGCATCCTATTATCCGGTCGGAGAGGATTACGGCAACAATGTCGGGACTTTTTATCGATTTACTTTTTTTGCTTTTAACCAGGTGGCTAAAGAGGTGTGTTAATGCGTATTTCATCCACTTTTTAATATAATCCGATAAGGCTATGTCACGATCTTTAAAGTACGAAAATATTTCCTTTCTGGGTTGCCGTTTTTTGTATTGGTTTTTCTATTAGCTTTTGAAGTACGTAGTATGACATCTGGGCTTTTTTATATTTCATTTATGTAAGATTTTATTCTAAATAAAATAACGCGAAATAATTCTACTGATCGTTACTTTCTACAAAGGGTTAATTAATTACAAAATTTACGAAAGAGGATGCGCTATGCGTGCAATAAGCCGAGCACTCTCACGTATTTTTTAATTGAAATTGGATTTTTGAATCGTATGAATGCAGACAAACCGGCAATATAATTCCCTTTCCGATCGCGGATATCAACTTTTTTGACTTCTCCTTTCACTTTGATATGACTTCCAATTAATTTCTATTTAGCAATCAAGCGTCACCAACATTCTTCATGATTCCTATCGTACAGTGTTAAAGTTCATTATGCTTTGACCCGGCTGTGGTTTGTAGCGGATCCGCCAGGGGGCGACACGTGCCTATTATGTCCGCCCCCAAACTGCGGGGCTTTTTAATTGAATATGCCTATTTGATTTTCTGATTGGCGGTTGTGCAAATAACAAATGTAGGTATAACTGGGTACTCGTGATTTGTCGTACTTGGAAAAAAATTCATTTTCATTTCAGTTAGCATGCGTTTTAACAACCTCAGTTGTGTCGTGCATTCAAGTGAGTCAAATGTTATTCGCAAAATATTGATGTTCCTATTGTATTTATTTACTTTGAGGACTGTATTTTTGCATACGCAGATAGCAGACGTAATTCAAAAATACTAACGCTCGTATTCACAAACGATGCTTGCTTAAGTGAATCAGGAAATCGAACGCACAGAGTTAAATAGAGCTCTGTGATTGGTTCGTGTGTCACTCTATGCGTCCACGCGCACTGTGAGATCTCATAGTAATGTTTATGAATACGGGCGTAAGTGCCAATGGCGTTTTGCACTATCGTAAATTGAATAGATGACATAAAATATAGACTATACTTTTAAGAGTTGCTATTAGCTTTATAGAAAAAGTTTTTGCACCATGTTGGGTGCCAATTTTTTTTAATCAAGTTTATTTTGAAATTGACCATGAAAAACGCGTAAGGAAAAATATAGTAAATTATGAACAATGGACAAATACTTTTTATCGAGGTAACTTGCAAGACGTAGGTAGACTGAAGAGGCTGGTGTGGTCTGTGGAGTGTCGCGTCGCGATCCGCCCGTAATAATTAGAGATGGCGCTGCCAGCGCGTGCTCAAGTGCCTAAATCCCACGGGCGGAAAAGTCAGGGAATTTTAGTCGCCGGGGTTCCTTGGCTCGTTAAGGGACGTAAAAAATATAAATTGAGACAGATTTTGGCGTGAAATACGGACACGCAACTGTAAATTTGTCGCTAATATGATGAAATGCGGTGATATTTCTGTAGAAATTTGAAGACTCAATTTTTGTAGTTGTCTTACATTAACCCCCTTACTATTAAAAAGTTACACACTTGTTGAACACTGTTTTAAAATGTCATTTCCATACTAAACGTCACTTTAAAACACTCTTCAACGAGTGTGTAAGTTTTATTAGTAAGGGGGTAATTTACCAAGTAGTAGACATAAAAGACAAGAAGTTTGTGTGAAACAAATCATTCTTGTATTATTGCATTATTCACTTTCTTAATATTATTGCATTATTTAACTTCTCACTTATTCAAATGTCTAGACAACAAACAATTCGAATAGCTGATACGGCTACGGTTATAAATAATCTTTTAAACATTGCTTACCTTTGGAACTAACTTTGGAACATACCTACGGCACCGCCGCCAGGACAGTTGGGGAGTCGAAGTGGTCGCCATGGCCGAAATTGATCGGATGAATCATTATCATCATCACGGTATATCTTTCGATCTACTTTTTCTCTGCTACGGAACTTTTAGTCTCAATCTGGCTTGAGCCAGCTTGAGCCTTGCGCATTACCGCCGGGGGCACGTCCCGGCTGTCGCGAAACACAAAGAAACCAACCGCCATTGTCAACGCTGGATTTGGTATCAAGTGCCATTTGAACACAAGGGCGTTTCAAACACGTAATATTACGGACACTTTAAAAAGTGTTTTACATTTTTGATATGATATTTTTAGAATCTTTTTCTAAACAATTCTATAAACAAAAGTGAAACTGAGATCCAGATCCAGGGATGCCATATACTCAGGCGTAATACGTTTTTATATTTTAAATATTAAACAAATTTGTACCATAAAAATGGTTGTTTTTTCATCGAGTGATTCCGTTTAATAACAGCGAATTGCTAAAAACTCATTTACTATCTATATTACAATTCATCCATTAAGAAGCTGTTTATTCACATTGTATTTATGTTATCTCATTTTCAGCTTTAGTAAAAGAAAAACATTCAATAAAATCACTCGATAGCTGTTATCATAATGTGTCATCTAAGTACCTACTGCGTCTATATTATTAACCAATGCAGCGCAAAGAATATCAAATTGTTAACAACAGCCTCATAGCTACTGCTACATAGCAACAAACACCTGAAAAGATATACAACACAACACCGTCACTCGCCAGTTCGCGATATTAACATGCCCACGCAGCCCCCCCTCAGCCTATAATTTTGGCGCCCGCGTCCCCCCATTGCTCTTATTTGCGCGCCTTTCACCGGTGAATGTGTTGCGCCGACGCCCATTAGATGCCTATTATGTCTGCCGGGTTAGCTCTTGCGACATGTAGTTTTGTATTTTTTACATCTGCCACATTCAAAAATGAATGGAGAGCCACCGCGACCGCCTCAAAGTGCCGAAAAGCAAACGTTATTAAAAAAAACTTTGCAAAACGGGGGTGTTGAAAAATATTTTGGTTAAAATAGTATTTCGGATGTCACAGCGGTTTATTTTTTTCTATTGGACCGGTGGAAATGCTTCTCGCCTATGCTGTGACATACCATTTTGCAACTAAAATATATAACCTGATGTGCTAACGACTCTACGTTAATTAAATTGTATTTACACCTAACACCATGTTGGGCGCCAAATTTTTTGTCATTATTTTTAATAGGCTTTTCGGTTGACTTCATATCATTAGAAACCGTACTGGTTTGTTATACTCATATGTAATACAGAATAAGGCTAGCTATTTATAGTGATTTTTCTGTCATTATTACAGTTTTAACGAAAATCACTGTAAACATAGCAACGAATGTTAAATATGCAAAAATTATACTCGGTATTTTTGAGAGTATAGAATCTTAGTTATTATTGTTAACGGCGTAGTTAAAATACTAAAACTACACGCGTGCAAATTGTGTAATAGTAGAATGTGGCTTGATGGCAACACCACGTTGGGCGCCAACTGGCGGCGGACAATAGACTAATGGCGCCGTCTCGTTACGCACTCCACGAGCGCGCAATTATTAACACTGAGACTGGGAACGTGTGTATGGAAGTTTATTCTTTATTTTACACAACTACAAGATATCTCGGCTGAATAATTGAATTTACACAAGTTTCAATTTTAAAAAATCATGCCATATTAGAGCTGAGTTGCACCACCTAACCTTAGCCGTAACTCGATAACACACCGGTTCCTGTATGGAATATGACAAATTTTTGAAGTTTGTTAAAGTTAAGTAAGATGGTGCAGGTTGCACCATCTTACTTGTTAATTTGTTACAAAACAGGTTATTGGGAGCTAATAAATGCGGTATACATTTAAGATTCACAACATAAAATGTCATATGAGGCTATGCCTTATCAATTCAGTAGCGATGCAAGGGACTTTTTTTTACCAAGATAGTACAAGTGGTACAAGTCTGGTTTGCATTTAGGTATCAAAATTTTTCTTTTCGATTCTGATACTACGCATTAAAATTCTCATTTAAGGTCTGTAGGTATATTTTTCACAACAGTAAATATGCCTCGCGGCCATTATCCAAAAACCCGCAATCCTTGCGACATTCCGTCGACAATCGAGACCGATTTCCTTAAGATTATATTTCTTCTTTGTTTCCTTCCATGTGTGGGTTCAAACGGGCAGGGGCGTAAGTAAAAAGCTCAATACTGAATGTAAATACCACGGCCTTTGTTTGCGGCATTAATGTATAGAGGCATCGATGGCTCAGCCCGGAATCCTTTTAGGCCTTAACTTTGATGTACAAACGGCTTAGCAGCTCGCGGTTGTGAACCGCGGATTATGTGCTGCGGTCGCGAAGATGTCGGGTGGATGGATGTGCCCTTGACGTCTTCTTAGGCAGAGACTATTTAATGCTGAAGTAACCACGTATATTTGGCTAAGCCTGTTATAATAGCTCACGTGAAACACGCCATGTATATTTAATTAAAAAGTTTTAATACCTTCTTAGTACCTAATTTGTTTCCCGCATATTATTCGAACTCCGAAAAATATACGCAGTAAAATATGCTATATTCCGAATTGTGATCTAATCGGACATTTGTAGCAATAGGATTTTCTGGACAGGACTTATCTTTCACTGGCGCGTTAACGTCTATTGTTGGAATTAAATTGCAGCGTAAAAAAACTTTTATGTAGACAGGTTTCGTATATTTGTTTAGTATTCAATATGAAAGGTTCGTGGATAACTTTTAAGCCTATCGAGCTATTTTTATTTGCCTTCACTCACATTTCTTCTCAGAACCAACCGATGTGTTGTCCCGAAGTGGTAGTAGGGCAAGCTATATTTGTGACGTGCACAAGTGCTCTGAAAAGAGCATACATAATACAAATAAAGAATGTGAATTTGACTGCAAGTTCACTTCTTTCTCAGCTAGTTCCGTGTGCGACATTAGAGCACAAAGCGGGCGATTAAACACTCTAGCGGCGCTCACACGGCGTCGACTCGAGGGCCGCAATCCGCGTCGCGCCTCCGGGCGGGTGATGGCTGCATTGACTGCGTTACCATTACCATTACCACTGCATTACCTTCCCAATGTATTGTTGAAGGATGATGCCTCATAATATTTCAGATTGTGCAAATCTCTGAAAATAAAGTTGTAGGTCTTGTTGTAGACGGAAGGTTGTTAAGATCCGCGCCGCGCCTCCGGGCGGGTGATGGCTGCATTGACTGCGTTACTATTACCGTTACCACTGCATTACCTTCCCTTCCCAATGCATTCTTCTATAGGCGTCATCCTTCCGAAAAGAAACTTGCAGCTTTTGTTTCAGAAAGCACGATGTAGCGAACGATCTTATGTCCTATTAGGTACCTACTTGTTAAATCCGGGCGGGTGATGGCTGCATTGACTGCGTTACCGTTACCATTACCACTGCATTACCTTCCCAATGTATTGTTGAAGGATGATGCCTATACAGGTATCATATTTCAGATTGTGCAAACGTCTGAAAAGGAAGTTGTAGGTCTTGTTGTAGACGGCACTTGTTATACCGCTGATGCGGGTGATGGCTGCGTTGACTACGTTACCATTACCGTTACCTTCCCAATGCGCTCTTCTATAGTCTATGGTCTAAATAGGCATCATTTTCTTTTTGTTTTAGAAACTTTATCAAGATTATCCATTTAACACGCAAAAGCGCATCTTATTGTTAAAAGAACAACTTGAATTATCCGTACCACTACCAGTTTCAAAACCATAAGAAAAGAAACACTGAATGCCGGTATTTAACAATTAATTTATGTCGTTTGTTACAGATCGTTCCCAGTCGTTTGGACCTTATCGCAGTGGGTACATACCCCACCAGGGCTACAACCAGAGCCAAGGACAGAACCAGGGCCAAGGGCACCATCAGAGCCAAGGGCATCATCAGAGCCAAAACAAAGGCTACAACCAGCACCTAGGGTACTCGCAAAGCTACAGCAGATCCGGCTACGGGAGCCAAGACAGACACGGCAGCGGCCAGGGCTATCAGGGCCGGCAAAACAGCCAGGGTGGGCATAGCAGCCGGAGCGGTCATAACAGCCAGAGCGGGCAGTATGGCGGTCAGCAACAAAACAGACACGGTAACCAAGGCTCACAGGGCTACCAGTCAGTGTCAGACTACAGTCCTTACCATGAGAGACGGGGCAGAGATCAGCAGAGTCGAGGCCCCCCTAATCTTCAAAAGTACAAGCGCAATTTTAACCGATAACGCTAGCGACAGTCATTTATGTCTAGTCGAAAAAAAATCAGTACACCGATTGACGTTTACAATGAAATATACAGGGTGTCCCAAGAAGTTGTGTCAAACAGAAGCTCAGAGGTAGAGCATCACTAAATCACCCCTAATATTAGTTAGTAGTTTCATAATCACCTCTCTGGATTTCTGCTTGACAGTATTTTTGGGACAATCTGTACAGTTGTAATAAGTGAGTCAGTGTCTACTATCAGGACCATCATTTATTGTTGTCACGTTTTCTGAGACTTTTTGTCGAATTTGATGTTTTTTTTTCGAGAATCATGATTATTAAAAAGGGAAAATAATAAAAATGTAACCTGATTGTAACATTTCCATCATACTCACTCAGTGTATTATTAGCAGCAAATTAGTAAGCAACTCACTTCACTTCAATCTTAAATTAATACACAAGAAATATAGCGTCGTTTGTCGTTAATTTAGAATAGTAATGATCACAATGGTATTGTTAACATCGGACATTGTCCACTATACAGGTTCCTAAAAGACCTGCAGTTAAATAAAAACATAATAACTTATCACTGAAGGTGATTTTAAACTAGGCACTCGCTACGTGTATATTTTGTATGAAAATATACGTATAAAATGAATATAATGGAATAAGATAAACGTAGATTAATATGACCTTTAAAAAAATTAAAGACTGTTGTTAAAACGGCGAATCGGTGATGGCACATCTAAAAAAAAAACAAAAAAAGGGAAATAACATTTTAGTATTACATTTTCCTTTGAAAACTATGACCTCACCAATTCAAGTAGGTAATTAAAATTATACGGTTGAGTGTACATACAAAAAAATGGTCAATTAAAACGTACGAGTGTTTCGAAATGTACCAGTAGGTATATGAATGACATTCGTGCTATGGAATAATGAAAAGATTGCAAATATAAATAACGTCACACTTTTATTTTTTGTATGAAGTTTAAATGTCTTTGTTAATCCATTATGTGTCCGGAAATGTAATAATGATGATATACAGAATGTAGGCGGGGTAAACAGGATGAAAATTACAATGAACTAACACTGTTAGGGTTTTTGTCAAAGTTTACACCCTGTATTTAATAAAACAAGTTAATATAGCTCGAGAAATCTTAATACATACTACCTACTCTACTTTGTTTATCAAAAGATATTACGATTTTTTTATCAATCAGTACATTAAAAGCTCAATATAATTTGTGTGAAATGTATCATTGTCTTTCAAAATGTTTGAGTCTGTTTATTTTTTTATTGACGGACGTGTGACTAGATTGCAAGTATGTACCTAAATGTGGAATTGTAATAATAATTGACATGATTTAAAAGAAAATATAAATACTTCAGACTGCGAAAATTCTCTTATTTATTTATTTGCCTCTAATTAAGTATTTAAATTAGGTAGGTAAATTAAATCAAGAATCTTTATATGAAAAAAATTAAGTCTTCATTTCTAGAGCCAGCTGCTCCACCCTTTATATTCGCAAAACAATAACAAATACCTATTCCAATAAAATTATTAAAACATTTAATTGACTTGCGCGCTTTTTAAATTCCGAACATGTAACGAATGTCAAACGTTTTCCAAGATGGCGGACAAAGCGCGTTCTGAAGTGGCGCACGATCAATAGTTTTTATAATTTCTTTTTTGCGCCACAATCGAAGGCTGGTAAATTGTTTGACATGAAAGGAAATTAGGGCCGCTCCGGAGGCACTTGAGATGTGAATGAGGTGGGCTAACGGAGATTCGGGGCTTTTGTCCAGGAGCGCGCCAAATGGGCTGGTAATAATTCATTGCGCTAGCTGCTGCAGGCTTGCATTATTTGTGTTATTAATTTTTAAAATTAAGGTTTTTGTTAGCTATAGAAAGCCCCGAGTTAATCAACCAACTTACAACATTGGTTCTTGCATCGTAAAATTTATTTCTCATAAGAATAACAAGCAACGCAGAAAGTCTAGTTTTACGAAATTGGTCTTTCCAGGAATCAAATATCTCTAACAATGAATTATTTTTGGATGGACTGATCAACTGAAGCATACTTTCTTCGGTCAACCCGCAGTTACAATAAGTAAGTCACCCAAATTCCCACATTCGGCACAATATCACATATCAACCGTGAAGCGGCAAGTCGCGAACTCTGCTCCTGCGCACTTCCCATAAACGCAAGATCTAGAATGTTCATTTCACCATGAAGTAATGTGTCAAAAGACACTCCTTTGTGCTGTCGACTAATGATTTTGCAAGAGCGGCGCTGCCAGCGTGGCGCCCGCGGTCACGCTGGGCTCGCGTGACTCTCAATGACGTCACGCTGCGCCCGCGACGAGCCCTCCGCGTTCCGAATTCAAATTCCGTTTGACAGATGATTTTGACTTTTCGCGTTCTCAAGGAATTGAGGTGACGTTTTGAGTGGGCTCGCCCGAGTGTGAATGAGCAATTTTCAAACCGATGGGAATCTGGCTCGGCGACGTGTGGCTGAGAATTGAATGTCAAGTGCAAATTAAGAATTTGGATTTACTCACGGTTGTTCGACGTTGGTTATTTCGGTGAGTACTTACCTATTTACTACATTACAGTTAATAATATTATTTTCTATTGATTTACTTTACTTATTAGTGTCTACAGTCATCTTCAGACTACCTACCTACATTTTTCAACGTAAAAATACTTAATAAGAAATTCTTTGCTGGAACAATTCTTTCGTCGGTAATTATTGTTCATAAGTTTATTAATTGAAAGTATTATAACAAACTTTTTACATTTACTAATTAATCCAGGAAATCTGCAAATATTATTATCAGAACTAGGTAAAATCGTATACGTTAACTGGGTGCAGGTTTTTTTTTAATATAACTTTTCTTCACTACTGAAAAATGCTTGTTTAAATAAAACCTAGATATTTTTATTAAGAATTCTATTCATTACTTTTTCATTCATAAATCAGAGCTGCCTATTTCATCCGTGAGTCCATTCCACGCAGTAACCACCATTAGCTTAGTTTTTATTGCTCATAAAATCACCATAGCGGGCCGCAGCCCACACAAATTAGTTCCGGCCAAAACAAACAAAAAAGTTACAAATTGTTCTAGTTCGCCCCTTTGCATTCAACGCACGCATCACGCGCCCCTCTGATTGGTCGGCGCGCCTCGCCATGATTGGCCCGCAATTTGACAGTAATGGCGTTAACTCCATCTTGTTCCAAATTCAAACGCCTTACGCGCTATCGACTACATTCCAATTTGTATTCTCTGCAACGAGCTTTAAGTTGACATTTGAATGTGCTCAAAAGTGCGGTTGTGATTTTTAGAAAGCTCGCGTCTCCCCTCTAGACAGATGTTGCTACACTTTAGTAACAATTTCGCCCACGACCGTTCCGAAGCCATTGTATAGTTTTTTGTATTATTTTGACTAATTCTTTTGTCGTGCGGTTGGTTAGATTTTATCATCGGGGTGAGCTGAATCATTGGATGCGTTTTTGTTCAGCGCTACTGGTTTTTAAATAGTTTTTATAGTAAATGTTGTTTTAGTTTATGGTTTCTTCGTAAATAATGGGTTTTAAAGGTTTCTGGAGTGTTGCCAGTTGTTGACACGCTTCTCGCGATTGAAAATTATGGTAATTTGGTTAAATAATGAGTAATTAGTTAATCTTATTATGAATTTTTATAAATCTTACAAAATTACTTTATTCCTCTAAGTTTAATCTTTATACTGTTCGGGGGATATAGAGTATTTTTGATTAAGAAGCATTACTAAAGTGTGCTTCCGCGGGCCATTGGGTATGCAATTCAATGCATTTTCCAGTCGGAAAAAAAGAATAAAGAAGTGTTTGATAAGGAAATTTTCCAGTCGGAAAAACGTGAATAAAGAAGTGGTTGATAAGAGTCACGCAATTGATATGTTTAGGATAGGCTTTATTAAGTCGTCACGCACACACGACGTGTGATGTGTAGTATCAGGTTTCCCTTACGTCCTCGCCTATTCTATTAGTTCTCTGAATGGAAAGAGGAACACAACATCAAACAAGAGTTATCACCTTCTAAAATTAGTCAAAAAATTAATTATAGGTAGTCAAGTTCGTGGTTTTTAATATTTGATGATGATATAATGTTGAACTTAAGCAGTTTCGCTAATACACAAACTAGTCGAGTGAAAGCATAGTATACAATGCAGTACATAAGGCAGTAGCTACATAGTGGCCAAAATTATATACTTCCACGCGACAAGCCCGCTTCCGCGCGGCTGCCCCCGGTTTTATTCTTTTAATTCGCGGCCGGGTGGCCACTCGAGCACGGACCCAAAAAATCCAAATCACCATGTGTCGCGGTAATTTTTGTAATATTGCTGGGGTTCTCTACGTTTTCACTAGATTCCATGGTTTTCGGTCACCATCGCTAGGTTTTTCGTTTATGGCAGTTGTCACAGGCTGTGGAGAAGGCTCTTTATGATCAGGAAATCATGAAATTCTGTGCTTGTTAATGACTTTTATCTGTCAAATCCAAAAGTCCAATGACTTGTGGAGTAATTGACCCTGGATAGTAGAAAATTCCAACCCGGTTCGTATTCCAGTCCTCAGCTGGCTTTTAGAGTAGCTCAAAGTCGAAAGACTAGAAGAAAGCTGCAAGGGGCAAGACATATTGAACTTGGTAGCAGACACCCTTGGATGGGCTCTTTTGAGGCTAGCGAATCATCCGACTTCGAATCCAACGATGTTTTGTTTACGGTGTACCTGGTGGTGGGACTGCAAACTCTTGACCTGCCACTTCAGACTCTAAATATACCATCAAAACTCTATACAAATTAAGGTCTGAACTTTACTATTTTTTCTCTCTGCCTACAGACCCCTAAGCCCCGACCGCACATTTGACGTTGCGCATTATTATGTATTTTGTAAAAAACCTTTGTTTCGTAATCCTGCCCTCTTCGAGTGTCGATCCATTGAACGATTATTTCGCACGTACACCCAGGGCAAGCGTGGCACTAGGAACCCTTAGGTCCATGGCGTAGGGCTCAAAATAAACGATGGATAGAGACCTCGGTGTACGAGGTGCGAGTATGTATGTACTCGTAATGACCCTCATGAGCCCTCCGCTGCAGCTTGGTGCATTGTCCGCTAACACAAAAGAGGTAAATGTATCAAAAAGTTTTAATATCTGATGCTGTGGGTTACTAACCGTAATAAAGTTTGTTATTATTAAATAAAAAGATAATAATATACTGCGAGAATCTGCATCTGGCACTTAAATAGCATTTATACCCACTGAATTTCTCTCTGCTTCAGGTTTTTATCATAACTTTTTTGACAAAATTGTTAACTAAAGCTATTGTCGTGAATTAAACTGAAATCCATCGACCAATTTTATTTGTCATTAGAAACAATAAATGAATATTATTGCCTTTAAAAATCAACTAAAATTCGTTTAATATCTTAAAAATGCAAAATACCAAAATTATATTTAATCGGCGATCTTTTCGGGTTAGTTGATCATGTTTGTCTTTAATCTAAAATCTTTAACCCTTTATACACAGAAATTAAAATCACTGCCAAGTAATCTTGAACGATCCAAGTCAAAAGATCCCACACTTGAAGTAACATTTAAAACATGCATTACACTGAACTGAACGAGCCCTTTGTGCTGGAACACCACAAACGCTTTGTCGAATGTCGCTACGGCGCACCACAGCTGATGGTTATACGGTAGACTTGGGCTAAGACCTAGATCTAAGCTCACATTTATACAGTAGACTTGGTCTAAGATCTAGGTCTAGGTAACCAAGGATGCTTCGAATCGATATCGCTCGAAATGATTAGATAATTCTTGGGTACCTATCGCTACCACAGAAAAGAGCAACTTTCTGAAAGGACCTTTCTGACCCCTTTATTGTCCCGTAGCAGTGATAGGGTTAAAGTTACTGGGACGTGTAAAAGAGCTTTTTATAAGCCTACTTGCAAAATATACGAATTTGTATTTGAGTTTAGACAGTAGCGGCGTAAGGGGGGGGCGGTGGGGGCGGTCCGCCCCGGGTGCCAAGCATCTCTGCACGTAGGACTTATGACGGGGGGGGGACGCGGGGGCGATCGCCCCGGGTGCCAACCCATGCTACGCCGCCACTGAGTTTAGATCAGTCTGAACTGTATGGCCACAATGCTGATGACGGTTTGATGACGATGAAAAACAGCTCTTAAAGTTGGAGTTGGGAACTCTACATTATACTTCTTCTTTTCGTGTCGAACTGTCGACAACAAACCTACACAGTGGCAGCCCAAAACTCCGCCACAAGAGTGGCGTTGTCACTACATTATACTTAGATACATTCTTAGTC